ATTCGACCATCGCTCACAACGGTGTCGAATCGGGAATGGAACGGTAACGGTATCATACAGCCGATGAGTTAATTGCAACAGCAGAACTTATTGATGCCGTGGAATCTGTATATACGTGCTTTCGCTCCATTGATGCCGAGTATCAATCTTACATTTCGAAGAAGTCTTCTTGGGTTACCAATGATAGCAGCGAATCTGTTCTCCGTTACATCGGTTACTCCTACCATAACATTGCTGTTTTGAATAGTCAGCTGGCAGTGCAGATGACGCGCGATCTTGGCGTTGATGTTCCGGAAAATGCCAAACAGGAAGAATATCCTTCCATCATCCACCTAGGTTGGAAGTTCCAAGTCTTAAAGAGGCATATCACAGAGGGTCGAATGGAGCTCCGCGTCTATGGTATGGAGACTATGCAGGCTGATCTTGTCAGTGTCTGGCGGCAACATATACAAGGAAACCCTGCCGGCGTTAACTATCCAATTATCCAGTATCTTGTGAAATTCCTGAGGGACAACAAGATCGTGGAGTACATTGTCGGTGTCGATTCGCATCCCCAGTTGATTAGCCGAAGTGGAAACGTAGTTGGGTTCCTTGTTGTAACGTCCACATACGCGGACAACGACACAGATATTATTTGGAACACGGTGACTGAAAGCCAGGACCCGAGAACTGTGGCGGAGGTTTTGGGAATGCTAACTCGCACATTTATAATGCACCAATCCGGGTCAAATGCTTTGATTTATCTGTGCACAAAACTCATCGAATTGCCGTTAAACCGCTTCGATGCACGGATGCTCGAATACAGCGACTGTCTATTAAATGCTGTGAGGGATAAGCATTCTGAGAGAATGCGCTCGCAGCCTTATGATCATCTGCATGTAGATGTGGTCCCCTGCCGTCTGTGCGTTCGCCTGATCCGTGACGCCACATCTATCAGCGAGTTTTCCATTGAGCAAAAAACAAACTTGCAAAAGTTTGCCAGCAAGCAGCTTTCACATCTACTGACTCTTGGGATGGATGACAACGATAAAATGGAAATGTACAAGAAGTGCATCGACGATATATCCGAAATGAACGAGTTCGTGGTTGGTAGCATTCAAGCCCTGAATGCTCTTATTCATCCTTATGATAATCTAGACATTCGGCGACTGGCGCTGGACTTTGATTTCACTCGATTGATTATCACAGAACTTGCCCATACTTTCGACACTGTCTCAACCGACTTCTCGGACCCTATGGTGAGAAATTCCCTTCGACCGCGAATTCAGACGCTGCTTCGAATTATCGAAAAAGTACCAGAAACTATTACTCCAGAACTCAGCGAAATTCTCCAAAGCCGCGTATTTATGTCCAAAAAAATTGGTGAATGTGGCCGAAGCTTGGCGTGGTCCCCGGACCCCAAAGCTACATCAATGACGGAAGCGAAACCCATTCCTCGAATGATACCCTCAACGTATATCTCCTCGAATATCTCCTGAAGACTATACCCTGGATATTTTAGCATTTGCGGAGCAGGCAGTGAGTTACGAAATCCGTTTTGATCTTCCACCAGACGTGAATGAAAATGAAATTATTACTATCCCTGGCATGGATCGATTATGGCATTTTATTCTCACGGCACCCCCTGGAACAATCGAAATGAAATCCACCAATTTCGCGATAGACGTTTACCTTGATCATGAATTGATTCGCACAGCCCCACGCTCCGCAGCAGAGGCTACGCATGTCGCATTGGTTGATCGCTGCGTTAGTCAACTCACAGCGGCGGCCTCAAAGTGCAAAGCGTTCACTGACGGTTCCACGAGCGGCGAGGATGAACCTATGGTCATCGTCCCGTCTGACGGGGAGGTACGAGCTGAAGAACTACGATTCACTCGTTCGCTTCTGTTCCTACGCCAACTACTTCAGGGACTGCGAATGCGGCCACAATACACTCCGCTCCAAATTAGCCCCCCGGAGTCTATTCTCAGAGAAGATGAGATAATTGGAGAACCCATCGAACTCTCGTACCAAGCCTTCAGTGGAAATTCTCAAACCAAGATCCGCACTCTCAAGATCGGAGATCTTTCCACTGCGTCCGAGCTGGCTGAGAAACTAACGCGACTCACCGGTTTTACGAGTTTCTCCAGTTTTAGCTGTGGACAGCGGCTAGATCTTACTGCCCATGCTTTTCAGACTTTGCGAGACATGAAACTCGCGGGTTCAGGACTACTCATGATTCGAAAAAATCCGGACGCTTTCGAGGCGTCAGTGGGCGGACGACGTCAGTCGTTGACTTTGGTTGACTCGGAGGTTTTGAAGCATTTCGATGATTTGTATGATTTGTTGAGTCTAGAAGATAAGTTATCGAAAGAGGTATGTTTTATTTGTTCCTTTCTCCCTACTCTTGGATCTTCCAGTGTCTATTTGCAAATACTAACAGTTTGTGCGTCTAGATATTTGACTTCTTAGTTGTCTTCCCTCCCCAGCAGCGCGTTCGAGATTTTGTCAAATCCAAAGAAATTTCGGAACAGGAGATGTTCCCTTTGGAGAAGCCATACAAGCTTCTATACTCAATAAAAGCTCTCATTAGTTGTATAAGCGAAGAAATTCTAGAAGTACGTTAGCGAGCGATTGGTAATACTCAGTTTATGCTTAGACGCTGGTGGTAACTGACAATTCGACAACTAGAATAACCCCGACCAAGAATTTATATCCCACAGCATTCAGAATTTGGTTGCATTTATAACGCGCCCGCAGATGGGTGAAGGTTTAGAAGACAGCCCGCTGAAATTACTTTTTGCACGAAATTTCGTGGAATGTCTTTTGTTTGCTTTGACGGGTAAGTTGTGAAGATTCGACAATCCCTCATAACAAGCAATCGAAGTACTAATGCCAAAATAACAATTAGCCAAGTCGATGCCAGAAGACTCCGAACAGTATTTCTCCAATCCGTTGGACCTAGCCACTCGACTTTTGTCTTTTATTTCCCTCTGCCGAAATCTTACTTCCAAACACCTCTCAGAAATCTCTATACAGAAACTAATATCCAATTCCTTCGCTGTCATAATCGAAGCCTCCATGCATGATAGTCGCGTTTGGGATGCGGTCGAACAAAGTACTCAAATCAAGGATCTAATCTTCACGCTGCTTCTCAGGGAATCGAGGCAAGGTATTCGCAAAAGTGTTGCTGAAATTATATTCGCCACCTGTGGTACTACCCCATCTCAGAAACGGGCTTGGAAGGCCAGCAGCCAGGTGAAGGGAGGGGCGGTTGCAGTTGTAGGAAGACTCCCTTCTGCTACGACGATCCATATTGTTGCAACGTTATGGAAACATATTTCTGCACTTTTCCCGGATACTCTTGAATATGCGCAGTCCTCTCAGGAGTTTTTCGAGGTTGCGCTTACTGTTTTTCAGACTGTTGCCAACTTATCTCCTGAAGACTTGATCTACGGGGAGTATCTTAGGAAATGGGGAGATATACTTCTTAGCCATCGCACGAATGAGGTTTGTTTTAGCATCCCATTTCCCATTTTGTGTTTCTATATAATTGAGCACATTGCTAAACTGTCTCAATTGTTCCTTTTAGTTCGTTGGTCGAGAGCCTGTCGATTACATCGTTCTGGGATTCACACACCTCTTGAAAATGTGCCTAGAGCTTTCGCACGCCACTCCTGGCACATGGACACAAGTAAGTATTGCCCTCCCATCTGCGTGTGAAGCGCATCTGAGTTGAAGCGCAT